CGGGCTGAACGATGGGGGTGGAGATGTTTCTCAGGTATACTGGACCGAGGCCATTTAGGGCTTTAAAGGTCAGCACAACACTTTGAATTGTGCTCAGAGACGTACTGGGAGCCAATGTATGTCTTTCAGGACCAGTGTTATATGGTCTCTGCGGCCTCTTTCAGTCACCAGTCATGGCCCTGCCCCGCCCTGCCCCAGTAATTCTTCTGAATACCAGTTTCTGGAAACCACAGGAAGGGAGAGGTGCTCTTGTGCTCAGGTGCTGCTTGTGGGCTTCCCACAGGAATCCGGGTGGCTGCTGTGAGAACAGGATGCTGGACCAGATGGGCCATTGCCTCTTCATAAGTTCTTACCCTCTGCAGAAGCCCAGGGTTGCATTCAAAACATACAGTGTGAATAATAAAAATAATTTATATCCTGCCTTTCCTACCAAAGGAGGAAGAATAACTCTTTGACATTGCTACGGTGCTTGAGGGTGTCCAAAGTACTTCACATACTCTGCCAATGTGCAATAACCTTGCAATAACTATGCAACGCGGGCTGCCATTACCCTCCCCAAACTGCGCCTGGGAGACTGAGAGAAAGCCGGCTTGCTTGTGGGAAGTTCGCAGTTGGCAGAGTGACAATGCCCCCGTTTACACTGAAGGAAGACCACTGTGATCAGTGGGATTTACCATCAAGTACATGTGCATAGGGCTGTAGCCTGAAGCAAGATTTGAAGCAGAGCTTCCCTGCATCACCACAACACAAGTGTAGACGGTGAAATTCAACATTTGATTAATTTCTGCAGTTGGGGACCTGAAGCCTTCAGTTTCATTTGAAGCAGGTGTCAAGCTGTAAATGCCTATTCCTTGAAGGAATTTCTTCCCTGCTACCATTCCCCCTACAAGAACATTAAAATCATTGTGTGAAGCATTGGAAGAGCATTGAAAGCATTCAGTGTGACAATGAGGACTGGGGACAGTTTTAGGAGTCTCTGACCTAGTTAGTGAAGCCTTAGGAGCCTTGGGAATAGACAATTCCCATGGGTATTGGAGCCCAGGACACTCTCTGCAACCTTTTAAAGGTAAAGGTAAAGGGACCCCTGACCATTAGGTCCAGTTGTGGCTGACTCTGGGGTTGCGGCACTCATCTTGCTTTATTGGCTGAGGGAGCCGGCGTACAGCTTCCGGGTCATGTGGCCAGCATGACTAAGCCGCTTCTGGTGAACCAAAGCAGCACACGGAAACACCGTTTACCTTCCCACCGGAGCGGTACCTATTTATCTACTTGCACTTTGATGTGCTTTCGAACTGCTAGGTTGGCAGGAGCAGGGACCGAGCAACGGGAGCTCACCTCATCGCGGGGATTTGAACTGCTGACCTTCTGATCGGCAAGTCCTAGGCTCTGTGGTTTAGACCACAGCGCCACCCGCGTCCCCTGCAACTTTTTAGGGTCCACTTAAAGCTTCCACACTGCCAGGTCTCATGGAAAGGGGAATACTCCATGGAGGCTTGAACAGATTTATCCAGCAGGTAATGCAGAAGGCTGGTGTTGCAAATATCAAAAAGCTGACATGGTGCATATTCCATAGAATGTCGTATCAAAAATGCTTGATTGAAGATGGAGGTTCTGTTCGATGCTGAATTTTATTGGGGGTATGTGAAAGGAATTAGATCAGACTCAGAGAAGGAATTATAATATTATTTACTGATAGCAGCAAAAATTTTAGTAGCCCAAGGAGAGGTAGAACAAGTGATGGATTGGGAAATTAAGTGTTGGACTCTAATTAAATTTGTAAAGTTAACTGGATGAAGAATAGTGAGAGAGGAGGAAAACGTATTAAAATTCATTGTTTGGATTTCATTATTTTTTTTAAAGAATAAGAAGTAAGGCCTTGTATTAGGCATAATGAATTGGATTACATTAATGAGCAATTAAGACATAACTGGAGTATTTATTGTGAGTCAATTAGATGCAGAGCTCCTCAAATTATTCGAGGGCAAGAGGTAAGAAAGAAGGACAATTAATATTATGGATAACTTAATAGTAAAGATTGAAAACGGATATATGTGAATTTCAAAGGCATTGAAATTGTAAATGAGTAATTTTGGGAACAAATGATTATTTATGTGTGGAATTGATACAGGTCATAAATAAAATATATGATTAAATCTTCAATAAGATGGAGGAGTGAACTTCAGGGAAAGTGGATGCTGTGATGGCGGTTGGAGATGCCTACTGCCCTGGTTGTGTTCCCAGTGAAAGCATGAAGGGTATAACAAGGCCTGAGGTTTAAGAATGGCTGCCTTGGGCATCTGCCAGGGCCCCAGCCCACTAAAAGGACTCATGGCTGGGCCCATGCTCCAAGCAGGACCTGATGGTGGCCCTTTAATTTCCCATAATAACCTCAACATAGCATCATGTCAGAGCATTGTGGGAAATAAAAATGGCAGTGTTCAGCTACCTGTACCTGCTTGGATCATTGCTGCTGACTGCCATCATAGCTTTCATGTCTCCTGCTTTAGGGTTCAACCTGAGGATGATAATTCACCAGTAGATCCCCTCCAAGGGGAATCCTTAGCATCCCACTCTTTGTTCACCAGGTCTGAGGATGTGTCATCCTTGGGATCTGAAGATGATTTCCCTGACACCTCACCTTGTTCCACCACCATGCAGAAGTAATCAACGCAGAGTCCTTGGAAGATCGAGCTTCATCAGCCTCTTTAGGTCTTCCCAAACTCAGTTATCAGGGCCAACTGGGAGCTGTCCAGAGTGCTGAATTGCCTTGCCTGAAATGGAATTGGCTGATATTTATTCCAGCTTACTCCAAGGGACCCAGGCCCCCAGCAGAACAGGGCAGCTCCCCTTCCCTCTGCCGTGAAGCAGCCACCACCACTTGCTCTAGCTTGAGGAAGCATTCTAGAGAACCTGAAAGATTGGTCACTATTTTGCAAAGAAACCTGAAAGCTTGCTCACTCCTTTGGAATGTTTGTGTGTGTGTGTGTGGGGGGGGGACCTCATCTGGACCAATGCTCCCCAACTTGCTTGTGGACTGGATTTTACAAAGCATTTCCAGTGTGCAACACACCCACACACCACACGCAGAATAAACAGTGCATCAAAAATGCATGTTTTATGGATAAATGCATTGAAAAGTGCATTTTGTGTACAAAGTGTGCACAAAATGTGTACGGCAGAATGGAACGGGAACCTACCGTCATGTGACAGGATGGAATGAACCTACAACTGAGACCAAAAGGGGATGGAATGAGCTGCTCAGCCCCCCCCCCAATAAAAGGATGCTCAGTTCTTTTGTGGAAAAACCTTCTGTGAGCCTCCCTTTTGTGGGAACTTCCCAGCAAGTTCTTCACAAGGCCAAACGACAGAGAGTGCAAGAGAGAAATTGGTGCGTATTTGCTGCCATTCAAACTCCCCTGACCAAGGTCGTTTACAAAAATAATGAAATAGTGTTATTTCCTAGGAGACAAGTTCTCCTTTTGGTTGTACAAAACATCCAAATCTATATGTTCATAGAGTCTGGGGGTTTATATGCTAATAAAATGGCAATCAATGCAAAATTCTCATCATTCCACAGCCTCTTTTGCGCTAGTGTGGGGCAGGGTTTGTGCTGGGGGGGGGGGAGGAGGAGGTCTTGAGGTGTTGGGAAAAGGGACTGTCAATTTTATCAACTACTTGTGGGCTGATGGATATTTACCTAAAGGCAGTTATCAGTTGCAAGTGGGCAAAGTTGGGGCAGAGGACTCTAGAATTGTCAGCACCTTTGTCAAAACTACAGTTCCCAAAATGCTTTAGGGGAAGCCATGGCAGTTAAGGTGACATAAAACTGATCTTGCCTTATAGTGGTAGAGGTTAACTTTTTGGGGACTGAGGATACAGTAACCCCAAGGTCCAATCCTTGGAAGAGGGCATACTGTGCACACAGCAAGGACTTTTAAACAAAGAAAGCTGCCTTATACTGAGTCAGACCACTGGTCCATCTAGCTCAGCATTGTCTACACTGACTGGCAGCTGCTCTCCAGGGTTTCAAGGAGAGGATATTCCCCAGCCCTACCTGGTGATGCTGAGGTTTGAAACTGGGACCTTCTGTATGCAAAGCGGATGCACTACCACAGAGCTAGAGACATCACTATATTGCATCAAGACCATCGGTAGATCTATCTCAGTATCGTCTGCATTGACTGGTGGCAGCTCTCCACAGCTTCAGACAAGGGTCTGCTGTCCTGAGACCTTCTGTATGCAAAACAGGGGCCCTTTCCCCCACAATTAGCTAAGCAGTGCAACAATTACCGGTATATTATTTGCTGAGCAATTTCCATGGCTGGTGTGTTCAGGGACATTGACATAAAGAAATTAGCTGGAAACTTGAAAATGGAAGTCAAGGGTAGGAGATCATGTGGCAGCTAGACTGGTGACTGGGACTGGCCACCGAGACCATATAACACCAGTCCTGAGAGATCCACATTGGCTCCCAGTATGTTTCCAAGCACAATTCAAAGTGTTGGTGCTGACGTTCAAAGCCCTAAACAGTCTCAGCCCAGTATACCTGAAGGAGCGTCTTCACCCCCATCGTTCAGCCCGGACACTGAGGTCTAGCTCCGAGGGTCTTCTGGTGGTTCCCTCACTGCAAGAAGTGAGGTTACAGGGAACTGGGCAGAGGGCCTTCTCGGTAGTGGCGCCTGCCCTATGAAACACCCTCCCATCAGATGTCAAGGAAATAAACAACTATCTGACTTTTAGAAGACATCTGAAGGCAGCCCTGTTTAGGGAAGTTTTTAATGTTTGATGTTTTATCGCTTTTTTATTTTATCTGTTGGGAGCCCCCAGAATGACTGGGGAAACTCAGCCAGATGGGCAGGGTATAAATAATATATTATTGTGTTGTTGTTCTTGTTGTTAACAGCTGCCTTCTACTGTGTCAGAAAATTGGTCCATATAGCTCTATATTGTTGACACTGACTGGCAGCAGCTCTCCAGGGTTTCAGGCAGGAAATCTCTCTCAGCCCTGCCTGGGTGATTGAACCTGGGACTTTCTGCATGCAATGCAGATGCTCTGCCCACTGAGCAATGACCCCTTCCTGCTCCATAGTTCCAGCTTCCTGATTTATTCCTCCATGTCAGCTCTTTCCATATGTTATATTTACAAATGATGGCAGAAGACTTCTTAATTTATTTGCAAATACATCATAAAATAAACATATGCTCAGTTAAGAAAAGAACAACAGCTCCTTAGCTATTAAATTCCACAATACAAACATTTTATCATACTGAGCGTGAGTGAGTTTACAATGCAGGTTGCCACACCAGCAGCCACACAGTTAATATTGGTGAAGATGCCCAGCCGCTGTCAACAGCTGTTATTATTTCTGATGATGCCATTTCATCTCCCAGGGAACAGCCACAACAGGCATGGGGAAGGGGAAGAAACACCCCAAGATCAACACCTTTACTCCATGAAATTGGGTAAAATGATAAAGCGAGATGCAGCAATTTGATTAAAAGAAGACACAGAACTGAATAAATTGAATGAAAGTCGGTACTACAGTCATGTGGTGAGCTATGAATAAATCCTATAAGTTTAATTTGAACAGATCCTTCCTCAAAGGTGGCGTTGGGGAACCTTTCTCAGCCTGGTGGCTACATTCCCTGCTTGGCAACATTCTGTGGCCCACATGATAAAAGTAGTGATTGGGGCTAGAGGTAAAAGTGGGCAGGGCAATGAATGTAAGGGTACCTGCTGGAGCATGGAGGAGAGGGCTATCGATGGCTGCTGGCCATTATGGCTGTGCTCAGCCTCTGCAATTAGAGGGAGCAATGCTTCTGAATACCAGTTGCTGGAAGCCACAGGAGGGGAGAGTGCCCTTGTGCTCAAATCCTGCTGGCTAGTTTCCCAGAAGAGGCATCTGGTTGACCACTGTGAGAACAGGATGCTGTCAGGGACCGTTGCTGAGGAGGGCTGCACTGAGGAAGAATGGTGGGAGCCACTCCCTCCCTCTGATTCTGAATTTTCCCAGGAGCAGAGGGACAGTATAGATTTGGAACAGTGGTTTGCAGAGGGGCATAGTTCAGAAGGCAGAAGCTGGGAAATACTGGATGAGGAACAGCTAGGACAAGAAACACTGGAAGAGAGAGAGAGTTAACAGATTCACAGACTCTGGACAGTATCCACCTCCCTTCCCCAAAGTCCCGGAGAGCTCAGAAAGTGTCAGAACAGAAAACATAGCAGCTCCAAGCTCAGATTACAAAGTGTAGGAGTGATGTAGTTTAATAGGGACAGAAAGGGGAAGGAACTTAACTGGGAGCACCACCATTCTAGGAGGAGTGTTCTTTGTCCTCTCGCTGTGGTTATTAACGTTTCTAACTATGGTTTTCCCAGTAGTGATGTATGGAAGTGAGAGCTGGATGCTTTTGAATTATGGTGCTGGAGGAGACTCTTGAGAGTTCCATGGACTGCAATAAGATCAAACCGATCCATTCTGAAGGAAATCAGCCCTGAGTGCTCACTGGAAGGACAGATCCTGAAGCTGAGGCTTCAATACTTTGGCCACCTCATGACAAGAGAAGACTCCCTGGAAAAGACCCTGATGCTGGGAAAGATGGAGGGCACAAGGAGAAGGGGACGACAGAGGACGAGATGGCTGCACAGTGTTCTCGAAGCTACCAGCATGAGTTTGACCAAACTGCGGGAGGCAGTGGAAGACAGAAGTGCCTGGCGTGCTCTGGTCCATGGGGTCACGAAGAGTCGGACACGACTAAACGACTAAACAACAACAACTGGTAAGAAGACTCATTTTCCTTTGTTCTGCTTATCTACTGCCATGCGGGGGGGGGGGGGGAAGGAAGCCAATTCCCTGAAGCCTGACAGATGCTGGACTAGATGGGTTATTGGCCTGATTCGGCAGGCTCTGCTCATGTTATTATGTTAGCGTGGCACCTCTAACATCTGCAATGGTCTGGAGTCAGAGGAGGGGAGGTGTTGAAGACCCATTACTATTGCTGCAGCAGGGTACCTGTCTCCAGTGTCCTAGATCCACCCAGAAAGCATGAAAAGGGAACCTTTGAGAAGTACTTGTGCTCTTTCTGCTGATTGGAGCCAACAGAGCCAAAGGCAGTGAGTCCTAGCCACTGAGGATGGGCTCTTAGGGTCCCTCTGTGGAAGGCATATGGGAGGAACAATTAGGAATTGTTCTGTGTGCACCAAAGCTAAGCATCTAGGAATGCTGAAAACATCAAGGGAATGGGGTGCAAGTTCTGTTACGTACAATGGAAAGACAAAGCGTTAGCCTCTCTGAAAGAGGGTATTGGAGCCCTCCAAATTATTTGCCTGTGAACATGCACAGGAAATAGTAGATCCAGCCAAAAGGCAACACATGGAGATCTGCATTGATTGCTGAAATGCATCCCTAATTATTTTTATTGTATACAGTGGTATCTTGGTTTACAAACTTAATTCGTTCCGGAAGTCCGTTCTTAAACCAAAGGGTTTTTAAACCAAGGTGTGCTTTCTCATAGCAGCAGGGGACTCAATTTACAAATGGAACACACTCAACAGGAAGCGGAACATGTTCTGCTTCCAAGGCAAAGTTCACAAACCAAAACACCTACTTTCAGATTTGCAGCATTCTTAATCCAAGTTGTTCATAAACTATGCTGTTCTTAAACCAAGGTACCACTATAATTACAACATTATGGTATAATCTTACAAGGGGTGTAGATGTGATTATCATGCAGGGACCCCACAGTTCTGAACTTGCCACTATACTACTGCTGCTGCCTGAGGCAGTCACCATCCTCTGCCTAATGGTAGACCCGGGTCGGTCACTATGCTCCAGAAGCACCCCTTCTCCTTACAACACTTTCTTAGAGCTGAGGCTTGTTCTTCTCTATCTATTCTGATGCTTAAATGTTAGAGAGGCAACCAGAGCAGTAGAAGCTTGGCATTTCTTTGACCTGACCTGAGCTCTGCTGTGATCTGCAAACTGAAAAGAGGTGGTGGTGGGGGAGCAGGGAAAAGGAAGAAGAGATTGTCTTTACCCAAGTAAGTTATCCACTCATGCATTCCTACAACAACCTAGGAGACATTTTGGTGACCTTCAGGTCACAAGAAACATGCTGTAGATCCATAAGCAAAGCACATTACATGGCTTTACCTTTCCAGATATTTTTTATTGATATAGGAGTGCAGGCAAAATGCTACCCTGGTTTTCAGACACAGTATGAAACTTTGACAAGGAGCCAGCTTAGATGAGCAGGTTTGCCAACACAGTTTGCCCTTGTGTGGTTGTTTATTTGAAAATAAATAAGGAGTGGTCTTGTTTGGACTGTGGGGCAAGGGAAGGGGCTTTAATTCTCTGCCTCTGTTATGGCTAACATACAGTAACTCCATCTTGGTAACCCTCCTGAAGTGGACAAGAGGATTCAGCCTCCAGGCTATGTCCATGAGGAGCCAAGCAAAGAGCAAGCATTTGTTTTGCTTTCTGTACCCATCCGGAGACTAGCAGTAGTTGCATTGGCTGGTCCAGCAGACTAGAGGGATGGTGACGCCTCCACCTCCATCTCATGGGTACCTGTCAGACAAAGGGTCTAATAAAGACCTGTGGCAGCTGTCTGAGCCCTTCTCTTACCCCTCCTTCCAAAATTTTAGGACAAGTTTTTAAAATAATAATAATAATAATAATAATAATAATAATAATAATAATAATATCAATGTATGTGGGCCAAGTACACTCAACATTTGAGTTTCACCTCTTGATTTCCCTGTTACGGTTGCTGTGCAAGTGTAAGATTTGGCTGCCAGTAATCTCAGTCCTCATTTTGTGGTTTGGTGCTGAGATAAACTCATAAGGTTGAGCAAACTATTTCAGCTCAGATTGTCTATTGAGGGAGTTGGACGTTCCACAGCTTCTAATTTGGTTCTGGTGCTTTGGGGCCTGTCTGGATTTGACATGTTAATGTACCTGCTAAACATGAGCTGAGTTCTGGTGATGTGGCAAGACACATCTAAAAGCATCTGCATGAGCTTGGCTGACACTCTTATCAGTTAAAAACCCCACACTCCCAATTATCTCTGGGCAGTTTGTCTCTTTGGATAATTGGCTTCTCCTAGCTGCTGAGGCGCATTGTCAAGAGGAGCCTTTTCTCTTGAAGTGTGAGGGACTGTGCGGTCGACAAGGCTGAGAGAATCAGGGCAAAACCAGTGTTCAAGGAGATCATGTTGGCTGAGTGCAAGAGGCAATGAGATGCCATCTCTCAGGACATGAAGTGACTTCCAAGTGCTGAACTTGCTAGTTACCTGGTTCAGAATATAAAACAGAGTCTTATTCAAGCTGTAAGTTCTTACACCGTGATTACATATTTGATTGTACTTGAAAATTTATTATGGCATGTACAGAGGATCCAGAAAGCTCTTCCCTCATGTATTTGGTGGCTGAACTACTAGCATAAGAATATAGAGCCTGCTGGATCAGGCCAATGGCCCATCTATTCCAGCATCTTGTTCTCACAGTGGCCAAATCCTCAATGAATTTCCCCAGTCTTCTTTTAAGTTGGTGGCCATCAGCGGCTTCTGTGGGAGCAAGTTCCATAGTTTAGGCTCTGTGCTGGATGGAGAAGGACTTCCTGTTATCTGTCCTGTATCTCCCAATGGTTCTAGTGTTATGAGAGAGGGAGGAAAACTTTCCCCTGTCCACTTCTCTATATTCTGCACAATTTTATAAACTTCTCTCTGACACCTCTTACTTGCCTTTTCTCTAGGCTAAGAAGTCACAAACTCTACAACATGGCTATGTTCTACCATCTTCAAATGTCTCAAGGGCTGTCACATGGAAGATGGAGCAAGCTTGTTTTCTCCTGCTGGGTAGGACTGGAACCAATGGATCCAAGTTCAGAGAAAGGAGATTCTGACTAAACATCAGGAAAACCTTTTGAGAGTAAGAGCTATTTGACAGTGGAACAGTCTCCCTTGGGAGGTTGTGGACTCTCCTTCCTTGGAGGTTTTTAAGCAGAAGTTGGATGGCCATCTGCCATGGATTCTTTAGCTGAGATTCCTGCATTTCAGGGGTTGGACCAGATGA